GCTTCTCACCATCTGCAGCCTTGAAGGTGGGTATGATATGGAGAGGGGATCAGAAGGGAGAAGCTGCTGGCGGTTATAGCCACCTATCTGCCTGTGCTCTTATGTCCGGGTCTGGCAACCAGAGGGCTCAAAAGAAAGATCATTCCCTCTCCAAAGCCCAGAAAGCCATCCAAAGATCTGGCTGGATACCATTTCGGGGAGGAGGTGGAGAGCTGGGGTGGGTACTGGCAGAGGTATGGCAGGAGGCCAGGACTCATTGCTGTGGACCCAGCTGAAAAGAGTGTGTGTGTGTGTGTGTGTGTGTGTGTGTGCGCGCGCGCGCGCGCAGGAGCTTTGGTTCGAAGACAGGCAGAAGAGCCGAGTGTGGAAAGCCTGGTGTCTCAGTACCTCCAGACCGTGTCTGAGTATGGCAAGGACCTGATGGAGAAAGTCAAGAGCTCAGAGCTTCAGGCCCAGGCCAAGTAAGTCTCAGGGAAAGTAGTTCAAGGGCTGTGGAACTGTGGAGAGAAAGAAGGGAAGATGAGAGGTCCCTCAGAAGACTGAACTAAGGGGTGGGGATTAGGGCAGATTAGGCTTAAATTGGAGAGAAAAATTCCTTCATCACCCACAGATCCCCCATGTCTCTTAGATAGAGAGGAACAACAAGAACTAGGTCTTGAATTTCAGTCTCTAAAGTCTGTTCCTCTACCCAGCAAAGGTCTTGCCTCTACTCCTACCTAGGGGCTTTGCCATGCGATGGAACAGGCACTAGAGTTTGGGGACCTGAGTCAGCCTGCTCTTACCTCCCACCACCACCAAGTTCCCTGCCAGTGCCTAGGGTCCCTCAACTCTAATTGATTAAACTCTAATCCCGCCACCTATCCAGGGCTTATTTTGAAAAGTCAAAGGAGCAGCTGACACCCCTGGTCAGGAAAGCTGGAACGGATCTGGTTAACTTCTTGAACTATTTCGTGGAACTCAGAGCACCGCCTGCTGCCAAGTGAAGCGTCCAGACCATTGTCTTCTAACCCCACCTGGCCTCTAGAGCACTCACTGGCCAGGCCCAGAGCTCGTCTCCCTACCCACACTTTGCTACAATAAATGCTGAAGAAATCTAGCTGTGAGTCTGGTATGTTTGGGGGACTGGAAAAAGTAGGGGAGTAGGGGAGGAGAAGAGGAAGGAAAAGGAAAAATCTGCTTCTAGAAGGAGAGAAGTTTGGGTGTGGAGGGGCGAAGAAAGTATTGAAGACACAACTGATGGAAATGACAGGATGAAGGTGCCATGATTCTTCTCCAAATCCAAGGAGTCTCCTACAGGCTGGGCATAGCTCTGCAGGAGAACACTAAAGAGCCTTTGCAATGCACATGGAACTAGGAGAGGAAGGAAGGATTCACAAACTGAATGTCTTGATTTCTGAGTCATAGAAAATGAGGGTACCCTGGCCAGGTGCAGTGGCTCACACCTGTAATCCCAACATTTTGGGAGGCTGAGGCAGATGGATCACTTGAGGTCAGGAGTTCCAGACAAGCCTGGCCAACATGGTAAAACCCCATCTCTACTAAAAATACAAAAATTAGCTAGGCGTGGTAGTGGGCGCCTGTAATCCCAGCTACTCGAGAGGCTAAGGCAGGAGAATTGCTTGAACCTGGCAGGCAAAGGTTGCAGTGAGCTGAGATAGAATCCCTGCACTCCGGCCTGGGTGACACAGTGAGACTCTGTCTTAAAAAGACAAAAAAAGAAGGAAAGAAAGAAAAGAAAATGAGGATGCCTCTCATAATTTCCTTGAAGAAAAGAAATCTTTCCGAAAATTACTACAGAGGAGTCACCTCAGACCCTCCTTTCCCTTCTGAGCTGGGAGAACACTGTGTTTCCCGCTTTCCCACAATAAGAGACCTGGGTTTGCTCCTCTCCCTAGAAGTGCTCTAATTTCTCCATTTAAAACCTCTTATCGGCCGGGCGCGGTGGCTCAAGCCTGTAATCCCAGCACTTTGGGAGGCCGAGGCGGGTGGATCACGAGGTCAAGAGATCGAGACCATCCTGGTCAACATGGTGAAACCCCGTCTCTACTAAAAATACAAAAAATTAGCT